AGTTATAAACCTTTTTACTAGTTCTGTTATACATATAAAATATAAAAAATAAAAATATACAATGTCGAATTATATATATCCAGATTCGAAAGTTTATTTTGATTTTATTTTCATACTTTTATTTATTTATTTTTTTCAAAATTTTGAAATTCAAAATGCCTTTTGAAGTTATTTTAAATTTCTTTATTTTATTTTTATATTAATTGTTTTCTATTTTGAAAATTTTAAACCCAACCCCAAAAAAACTCCATTCTTGACTCTAAACAAAAAAATAAACTAATTAACCCTATGAGTATAAAAATAGATTAATCTTTCAATAAAACTTTTTTAGTCACTTTTTTCCTTAAACTACATACATTGAACTTGTTGAATTTAACTTTTAACGGTTGAATCCATACAGTGAACCGGTTGAAAACCCAAAAAAATCGAGGTCCATTATTTGTCGTTGAATTTTTTCTTCATGTTGAAAATGTTTCATGAAGGACCCATTATGTTGATTTTGCTTCACTTTAACGACTAAACCACATACGCGAAAATATGAATATGAGTACATATATTTTCTTTTAGAAAAAGAGAGATTATGTATTAGTATATGTGAAACTATATTATTGGTTGTTAAAATTTTATAATTTTTTTTACACCCTAATAACTTGAGATTAATTATCTTATATCAAATAATACTTTTTGTAGAAATAAATTATAGGAAAATTTATAGTTTTTTGTGCTTTATAAATAGAAACTTGATTTATTTAATATGGACAAAGAAAAAATCTATTTCTAATATAATGTTGTCATTTTAAAGAAACTATTCTTGTATTAGGTGGAACAACATAATTATGTTAAAAAGATAAAATTAAAATTTATTTAAGATTTAGTTATTAAGACTTTTAAAAATATTGTGAATTTTGTTGTTTACGAAATATAACTTTAAGAAAAGAAAAATAGGAGATAAAAATATTTTGATTGATTCGACTGTAGCTGTAAAAAAATCGTTGTAAAAGTTTAGCTGTATGTAAGTTGGCTGTAGCTATAAAATTGTTACTGTAGATTTTTTTGCATAAACTTTTGCTGTAGTTAAATTTGTTATAGCTGTAAGTTATAGGCTGTTGATATTTAAAAATAAAATATGTGAAAATATGTGATGTATATAAAACAATTATTTTATCAATTAAAAATTATATTAATATTTTAAATAAATTATGAATTTTTTTAAATATGTGATATGTAAATAAAATTTATGCTTTTAATATTATAGAATTTTGAAACCCCCGAAAATTAAGTAGAACATTTATAGATGTTTTTATTATGATTATATAATTTATTTGATATTATAGATAGGTTTTTTTTTTCATTTAACAAATTCTACCCTAAAAAAGGAAGGATGTAGAACTTTTACCTAAAATACATTAGAAAAAAATTGTTTTAGTTTTTTTGCTGTAGCTTAAAAATAAAGCTAAAGCATGATTGGTAAAAATTAGTAGAAACATGATATAGATTTTAAATTTTAAAAATAAAGCTACAACATAATTGGTAAAGACTAATGATTTAAAAATAAATAAAGTTAAAGTTGGAAGATAAATTCCAACCAATCACCCCCATCGTGTTGTATATTGGAATACTAGGTAAAACCCGCCCTAAGGACATGTAAGCACGTTATAAGTAATTGAAAAGAATGTTAAATTCTAAAGAACATTTGACATTTTCAATTATTTTTTGTGTCTGTTTTACGCTAACATTTTACCAAAATTGTGAGAAGTATGACTATTAAAAAGAAATAAAGTATTTAAAGAATACAATCGTATTATGTGAATAGTTTAATATATATAAATTCTTCCGAATATCATTTTTTTTAAAGGGTAACCTGTTTAGGACCACACAAATTCATAAGTTTCGAGGTAATCGAATTAAATACAAAAACATTTATTTACTTAAAATTGTATGATGATAGTGTTCATGTTTTATTGGAAGAGGTAAGAAAAACTGCTAATTTGAATTGAAATCCAAGTGGCATGTTTTGTTATTTTTTTCTTAGTCTCAGGGTTTTTAAGGTTTTACTATAGTTAACAAAATACGATAAACTAAATTTGTTTTTGTCACTGAGATTTTTCTAAACACTCACATACAATATTACTTCTTCCATTTGCACAATAGTTTAAAATAAAAGCATTATTACTAATAAATTTTTTATTTTGTAGAACATAGTATTTAATTAATAAAATATACTAATTATAAAAATAGACATTATTTGATTGGTCATATTATATCTAGTACATGCAAAAGCTACCTAGATGTAAGAAAGTTACCTGTTAATACTATTTACAATAAGAAATTGAGGGAGTAGTATATAGTTTTAATGAAGATACATTATTTAATTTGTTTTTGTTAATAAATACAGAACTTAAGAAGAAACTATAGTTTGCAAAAGAAATGAATGACTATTAATGAAAGAGATCGAGCTATAAAACCTGCATTTGTTACTTTGTATTTCTAACTTTAAGAATTATTATTTTCCATTAACAGACTATAAGATTTATTACTCTAAATAATCCAGAATCAGTAATTGTTGGTTTTTAGTATTTCTTTGAATTGTGTATTAATTTAAATGTTAGTATTAAATAACTCTATTCAATAAAGTTAACAAAATCTCTGATCATATCATTGTAAAGCCCTTTGTACATTTTTTTTATTCAAACGATGGGTTATGTCGACCACTCGCGGTGGCTCTCCTCCTGTCAGGAAGCCTAGGAATCGTTTCGGATTTTTTATGTCTGCAATCGAGTTGGCGGCGATCAAGGCCACAAAACGACTTCTTTATATAATCTTCAGTTGCGTTTCACTTTATTCATCATTAGATGATGCCAAAGACATTTTGGTTAATCAAAAGTATCTGAGGTATCTTTTTAAGAAACTTCGGTGAAAAAAATAAACGCTAGATGTAGAAATTTCTCAGATATTTTTGATTAACCAAAACACTATATATAATATTTTTAGGGATACATATTGCAGTAAAATTACAGTAAATAGGTAGACAAGTGGGATTCATTGAATGATGCCATAAAATCCTTAATTAAAGATGAACCGACAAATAAACAAAAAGTCAAAAGATTAACCAATAATCATGACACATGTCATGTTGAGAAAAAATGAATTAGTGACATGGCACTTTCATATGAGAGAAAATTCTACTTTATATAATAAGATATGAATTAACTTAACATTAGTTGTAACGTCAATAAACACAAAAACAGTTGCGGCCAACAGAAAGAAAACTAAAATTGTATATTTCTTCTTAATACTTTATATGATATGAAAATTAGAAAATAAAGTTATTAATTTAAAACAACTTATTTTCAGGTTTAAGAGGATTAAGGTTTTTTTTGGATTTCATGTTATTATTTATTTTTATGATGAAGATATAAGTGTTTTGGTTCATATTTTTTTCCAAACACTATTACAATACTATCTTTCTTATATGTTACAATAATCAATAAATTTATAATTAACACCGGTATGAAAAGTATCTAACAAGTTATAGAAATGTAATATCACAATAAATAAAAAAATGAAGATCACCAATTTAATAAATCACAATGACAAATTTTAAGTTGTCATCATCTGTTTAAAATTTGAAACACCCCAACCCAGATATTTTAAAAAAATATATTTTGAAAAGTTTTAGTAAATGTTGAGAAATCTTCATCATATAAATAGTAAAAATCATCTAGATTACAATACAAACGTCTTTGGAAATCTCCGAAGATTATTTAAACTGAAAAATAAATAGAAAATAAATTTTAAAAATAAAAATTATAGTACAAAAAATCTAGTTTAATATAATGAGTTTAATGTTTCATAACGAGTGTTTAACTACTTATTTGCGTTAATTTAGACCATCACACACATATTATCAATATATTGTTTTCACAAACATATACATGAATACATAACATAGTTTAACAAACATAACATTTAGACACCCACAAAACACAAGAGTTTTAACAAACATAACATTCAAACACACACAAATAAAAATTTTAACAGGCATAACATAACAGTCAAACACAATACTAACGCACTCGCATCATCATCCAACTAGGAGAAGCTTGTGGAGAATTTAAAAATCGTAATATTGTGGAAATATTGTGCGTTGTTGCTAGGCAACAACCCCACACAACCAATTGTAAAAGAAAAAAATGTTATAGGAAGAGAAGAAAGAAAAAGAAAGAGCTTAGCAATGGTGAAGAGTTGCCTTTTGCATTCTATTGGATCTCACTTTTAGTTGTATGTAGCGCTTACTTCTGACAAGCAATTTTGTTTGGAAATTGATTTTTTTTTAATCTTTTTTTGAAGGTTCATCATCATGGTATCCAAGTCAAACTTTGCAAGGGCTAAACGTGTGATTCAAGCTGCTAAGGTTGCTCGTTCTTTTGTTAGTGGCGACAAGAGTGTCACTCGTGTCATCAATCAAAATTTTCCCATCATCTTGATGGTTGTTGTGAATGATGGTGCAATTTCATTCTTTAGTTATCATTATCTGATTCTCTATCATCATTTATATAAAGTTTGACTCTTCTCATTATCTGATTTTCTATCATCATTTATATAAAGTTGACTCTTCTTTTTTTGTTGTATGTTCCACTACTGCTCATGTTGCTTATGCAACTGAGCATGGTGTTATTCTCATCATGCTCTCTACCAGAGAGCAAATTAAATACTTGGTTGGATGGCCAGCTGTGGTGAGCTGTGTCATTGACTTTCCAGGACACCAGATGATTGGTTGAAGTCTCATCCATCTACATTTTCATGTTTGTTTTGTTATGAACTGCATTTGTAATAATGTTTATTTGCTTCAATCACTACACTACGACAACTTTTGTTGATTTGCTGCTTTCAAAATCTCTATAATATTTGTTTTGCCTTAAAGCTCAAACTTCCTCTATTTTCGAACATCATTCGATTCACAACCTCTGGTCCACCCTGAGGAGAATAAGGACAAACATTCACCTTTCCCCAATACCACTGATGAGTTCATCCTCCTCATGAGTCATGTACCCTTTGTCACCACCTTCGTTTCTTACTCCTCTTTCATATGTAACATCAATCTGTTTTGTTAGCACAGTTACTTAAAACATCAAGAAAAAGGGATTATAAGAGATCAAAATAGAGACCTGATGTTTACCCTTGTTGAGAATGCAAACCGCAATGACTCAATCTTTTCTCCTGCGCAAAGTCTAAGGTCAAAACTAAGGAATTCTAACCCTATCACCTTCTCTTCCTGTAGCAAAAATATTCATTAAAATAAAATTACTAAAACCTACAGACACTTCCTGTTAAAAATCAAGTTTTCAGCAAATTATTACCTCAGCTTGAATACCGTAGTATCTCCAACACAAAGATCTAAGGGCTTTAGCTAGTTTATCATCAGTTTCTTCTAAACGGCTTATGATTCCAGCTGATGCATGAGAAACAACATCAGGTTTTTCTTTTCTGACATCTTCCACTTCAGTCTGTTCCAAAAGAGTGAAAAAGACAATACTCTAAGCATAAGCTTGCAACAAAAGGCAAAGGCCAGATAGAAAGGGGTACCATGAGGTTTACTGCATACCTGATCCCCTTGTGCTGTAATAAGAGAGATTCTTATCCTCTCTAACTTGTAAAACGCCACCACATTTCTCTTCTTCTCAGAACTCTCTCCATCTGCCTTGTCAGTGTCTGCAAGCTTCTCTTCTAAGTTGTCTCCCTTGCTTGTAGATTTGCTATCAGCAAGTTTCTATTGGATATCTGAATAATCTTCCACTAAGATATGACTCAACTGCCCCTGGATGGCAAGTCCATCAGACGGCTGATCCTTCCAATCTACAGGATCATTTGAGGCAACCTAAAATCTCCAAATACAATAAGTTTATAAAATCACAACACATTTTTTTTGTTCAGAAGTAGGACTGAAGCTAACCTCATGCATATGGGTTGGGAGAGTCTCCAGGGCATGCCGTTGGTAGAAGAACATCATAAGTTTAGTAAAACTTGGTGTGATATTATGACAGAAGAAAGACCATCATAGCTAGGCTTAATGTGAGTTGAGTACACGAGAAGGTTTATCTTATAGTAATTTACAGTTGGTTTTTCTTTTCTGGTTTTTTCAATATTTTTTTCGGTCCACAATAAATATACTAATGTGATGTCATCATACTATTATGACAGCACACACATATTCTACTGAATGTTGTAGACACGTAAAGGCACACGAGACAATTGTTTGATTCAGGCCAACTCCATGTCTCCTTCTCGTCAAAGACTTTGATTTAGCATGGCACTTAAGTGGTTCATTGGTTCATAATTATAATCAGTTTCTTAACACAAAAATTAGAACAAATAATTTAATGCTTTTCAGTGACAAAATTTCTATTTTTGTTGTCGTATTAGACGAGATCTAAATTATGCAATCTTTTGAACATGTTACTTCTAAAATTCATATTAGAAGAACATTGATATTTGTAACCGATCATGACATATATTAACATTGATAACACGGCTTTAGTGGTTTGTATTAGTTTTCACTGTTGTCAGTTATACGACATCTGAATGCAAACTTAGTAAATGCATATATTGACATAAAATCAAATAACGTCATCGATGAACAAATATAATATAGACTATATAGCCATGATTTACATATGTTTAAGCTCCAAAGTCATCTACCAAACAAGATAGTCAATTTCTATGGTTTTTATTTGATTAAATTATCAGTGGGACCTGAATCAAAACATACACCACGGAATATATCAAACGAGAATAGAAAAAAGCCTAGGTCGTTCGTGATAAAGAGATCATGGACAATAGATCTGTCTTCCAAATTTAAGCAAAAACAAAAACAATTAATCATCTTCGAGCTAAACGGTTTGGACAATTGAGTGATTTTATCTAAACCTAATAGCTCATATTATACATACCACTCATTGATGAATTGCAAACACGAATTCCCGTTGACTGAATTTGGAAAGTTGGACAAACCCAATATTGATTAACATGTCCAAGAACATATCCATGTACTAATTTTTTTTTGTTTTGAGTGTTAAATTAGATTTAAATCAAAAAGCTACCTTTTACATCAGGTGTGAATTTGTTTGAAAAAATCTTAATTATATTACTAAGACATCATTTTGATGCAAACTAGAGTTGCATCGTCTCCTCATATTTTCTATGAGCTCTCCCATGGATAGTAAATACGGTTTCTGAATGTGCTACTCAATGTATCTTTCTACAAGGTTTGGGCTTGTAGGTCACTCTCTCCTTCGTCAATGGATTGACTGAAATGCAGAACTTAGCAAAAGCAGAGTATTACATTCCAAAGTTGAGTCTGTTAGGCTTTGTAGTATTTTGGTCCACTCAGTCGGGTACCGATTCTCCCCATCAACTTCATAGTGAGTTCCTTCGAAACTAACTCAGCGTGGAATAAATTTTGACAACAAATATTGTATAAATTACACAACATATTAACATATAACCTGTTGAAGTTTGAAACTACGACTTAAAAGTTTCAAACATAATTTATATATAGTGAAGTGTCCAAAAAAAATTAAACATTTGATCAAAAAAATTATATTATGATTTTTCTCAATAACAAAAAAGAGATCCAGAAAGATAAATTTTTTTAAATGAGATCCAGAAAAAAATGAGAACCAAAAATTGATATGGAATGTCATCGGTGTAGAGTACTAGCTAGAGAAGGAGCCAGATAATGTTTTTCGGCTATATAAATATGTGTAATTTCTTACGTTCTTTCGAATCTAAAAGTTTTATTTTGTCATTAGTATTCTCAAACTTTAATTATTTATTGAAGAGATTTATTTTATCCATCGTGAATTGAAACTTTATCTGAATAATATGGTATCTATAAAAGAGTTAGAACAGAAAATTATTAAAATGTTTATAAGGAGTCCACACAATTCAAATAATTACCGAAACAATAGAGTGATATGGAAAAATGCTTATTTGCTTATAATTTATTGTACGATATCCACATAACAGTCAACTATGTAAATGACTGAATTCAGATGATTTAGTTAATGATATGGTATCATATACACGGATCATGAAAGGATGTAAACAAGTTTTGTGAACAAAGTTTATTTAGAAAGCAGGTAGATGTGCAAGAGCTAATGAAGGGGATCATGAATCTACAAAATTTGTTTTCAACTTTATACACTGAATTTGAAACACTTATTAGGATTATGAACTGTTTTATTGTACTTTAGCAAACGGCATCCAACCATTTGTATTGTAGTTTTTTTTATATTTTAGATTTTGTAGTTTGAACTTATTGAAAATCAGTTTAACTTATAATAATCATTTATTTTGATTTTAAAATCTAGATTTTTAATTCTTAAATCCACTTGTCTTATTTTAAAATAAATAGCTAGAGCTTGATATGTGCAACCATGCCGTTTTTTTTTCTTTTTACGAAGTATATAAAACTTTTTTTAAAAAAAAAATACTGGTTTCACTTATATTATTCAAAATATATATTTTTTTTACTGTATTGTGTGGCTTAGAATGGCAAATAAAAGCTAAAAAGGTAGACAAGAATAGGAAAAGGCAATTAAAAATTGTAGGGGAAGGAAATATAAAATAAAATTCTTAAAATGGGAGAATATTGTTCCACGTTCGCTATAAAAATTAAAAAAAAATTGGTGAGGGAAATATATAAATCTGAAAATTCCTTCCAATATGAGAGAATAGTGTGCCCGCCTTTTTGTCAACCTTTTGATTTTCATTACCATGAAAATTCAGTTACAGTGGCCTAAAAGTTTAGCCAAGAAATTATATAATCTCTATCATTAACTCTAGCTTCCTTGGCTAATTTGTCAACAACATCTATTAGTTTTCTAGGGACATGTCTCAAAACTAAAACTACATTTTTTTTTGCTATCACTCCTATGTCTTGTATTATGTTAATCACATCAGGAATGTGCTCTCTTTGGTCGTGGTTTCCTCCAGTTTTATCATACAATATTTTTATCAGCTTCAAGCAATCCCCTAGAAATATTACTTTGGTATACGACAATCTATGAAGTTGTTGAACTGCTGACCACAGTGCCATTACCTCTGCTACCAATGGTGAGCTGGCAGGCTCCATTGCAGTGCTCCTTGAAGTCTTGGAGTGCCTTCTTTACTACGTAAGGACCACCCTATTCCAATCTGATCTTTTGGTGACTTCCATGAAGCATCTACAAATTTAATATAACTCTGTTTTGTTTGGAAAGACATTCTGCACGAGTTTTTATTAGAAGCCACAGTTACTAGTATATTATGCTTTTTTATGGTCAGTGCTTCCTTCCATGCTTTCAGATCGACATATGCCGCATTAAGAACCTGTGTTATGTGATCTCTTCTGTTATCAAAGACAAGTCTATTGCACATCTTCCAGATTCTCCAACCTATGAAGAAGTAAATGATATCTTCTGTGTCCCTCTAAACCTTTTGGAGGCAATACATGAAGAGATCATATGATGTATGATTCATAACATAAGATTGAAGGTCTACTTAGCAGTATAAATTCACAGTCTTTAAGGTTTCGTAATAATTAAAAACGTTAAACGCGTGACCCCTGTATACATATTAATAACTTGAAACCTTTGTCACCTGTTCAAACAGCCTGTTGCATTCACATTAAAGTATAGCGTCTAGCCCGATTTATGATCTTAACTGCTATGCCTTGCTTTTATTATATGTATCACATATACTGTACATTGACCAGATATATGTTGGGATGCTTACGTCAGTTGTCAATTGGTATTCCTCAACGTTCATCGGCTATGTTTTAGTGGTATTAGACTGCATAATACCTGCAGTAATTGCATTTCATCTAGAGATCATCACTTAAATTGAACTCTCCACATACTGTTACTACTGTACTATAACCATATAACTTATCTACAAACTGTATCTCTTCACTTTCTCAACAAGAAAAATGTAACCGCCGACTAAATACATCTTTAAAACCTCTTACGTCGAACAACAAAGCATCCCAAACCTTAAATGTCCTTTTGCTCCTTTAGTATTCTCACAAAACCTTATGATTCAAAACAACTAAAACAGCGAGAAGATTATCTTCAAAAAAAAATGTTGAAAGACAGATCTAAACAATCATCTAGCGCTCTCGACGTTCCCAATGTCTCTATCACAAGTTCTTTGTTATGCAGAGTTAATTGGAAGGAGAAAAAGTTTAGCAAATCAAGTGATACCACTTATCCAAATAGGTCATGGGACAAATTTTTCGATGATGGGATTTGTCAAGCTAATGTATGTAACTAGAGTACAGAACCAACTGCCATTCAGCCGTGGCCCTTTAGAGAACTAATATGTCATTCATTATTCTTTCTTTTTTTTTGGAGTTTGTTATTCATGTTCTAGAAACCAAAGTTAACATTTTTTTTAAAGACTCGACATTCTATGTCTAATCAAGTTTTGGTGATATGGTTGTTTAAAAAATTGTTCTTAAGTTTGATTTGGTTTTGTCTGTTTTATTTTTTGATCTATAATGCATTTTTTGTTTGGAGAAAAATATCAATTTTATGTTTGTATTAATTTTCCATTAATTTTTTTTTTCTAATTGAAACTATTCAATGGTTCTAAGCTAAAAGAAAGATTAAATCAATTGTAAATTTCAAAATTCTTTTATATAAAACCGGCGTAGGTGTGATAAATTGATCATAAGCGGAATAATTTTTCTACGACATTTTTTTCTGTTTAAATCGAGCTAAGCGGCTCATACATGTGGATTACCAGATATACATGCGGACATACAAATTTTTTTTTATTAAATGCATAAAATAACTTTAGTTTCTTAAAAAATTAATTAATAATAAATTATTAAAAATACGTAAAATATAATAAAAATGCATATATTTAATAAAATATAAAAAAATCATAAGAATAAACAACGTAATTCATTTACTATATTGCTTTTCACGTTTCATGAAAATCAAAAATAACTGTGTGACTCTCATCAAACTCAAGTGGAAAATTAACATAATAAAAGGATGAAATACCCAATTGAAAATATTTACAAGAAAAAACTAGATTAATTCATTTATGAAAGTGGACTAATGTTATAAATAACCCAAGACTATCTTCAAAGGATTTTATAATTTTTACCTCTAAAGTCGAAAACTCTATAATAGATGTGAAATATGCTCCAAATATTTCTCTAAAATAGAAAGCTTTAAATATATAGTAATAAAATAGACGAATGTTATTCTTCCTTTATAAATAGAAGAAAAACAACAATCTCTATTACAGAAGAAGAAATAGAGATGGGTTAAACCAGTTTGGCCTCTAATTGATATTATAGATATAAAAACATCAATAGATTAGAGATGCAGAAGTCATGTAGCTTATTGAGGATACCATATTTGTCTACAACGACAACACATCTTTCCAGTTGCTTCATGTCATGTTTTGTGAGCTCTTTTAACATTCAACTAGATTTTGATCCGCGCTTTTAAACGCGGAATTAAATTATTGTTAAAATATTTTTCGTGTAATGTAAATTACAATTTGTATGCATAATAATATATTTTGATTTTATATGAAATTTTATGTTTAATTATGTTCAAATGATTTAGTTTAGTTATAGAAGATTTACAATTTTGAAAATTCTGAATGCTTTAGATTCGTGTTATAGGTAATATGTTTATTTAACCCATTTATTTAATTTGTTTTTTAGTGATTTTATTTTTAATGGACGAAAATGAAATAAGATAATTAATTTTTAATCATTTCATATTGATCAAATTTTATTTACTTTTTATAACAAAAATTGTATAACGATATATTTTTCCAACTTCGTTTTTGAATCCTTCCTATATATAGACCCGTTCGTTGTTGATAAAATTATTAACCGGTTTGTTAGATCACAATAGAAATTCACATAGTTTTTAATTATAATTTATTTTTAGATCGCATCTCTGTAACGTCTCACATCTGGATTAATAACTAATTTACTCCCAATTTCTACATAATCAACTCACTCTTCCCACATTGCAGCATTCAGTTGACCCAACACAACGTCAAAGTAACCAAAAAAGCTAAGGTTATAAATATCTCCATTTCCATCGATGGATAGCACAATTTCGACGAGACCAGTAAGAATAGTCTTTTTACTTACGGATTACTGCAATGGCAATTTTTTGGGTATTTTTTTCTTTATCCAATCATAATAAAAAGTGTCTATCGAGCAGTCTGTTATATAGTAATCATAATATTTTGCCATTGAAAGAACATTTATCCTTCTTATATATATTTTTCGAACGTCCAAAGTTTTATATATGTACAATTATAATATCATCAGTAAGTGACAATATTTTAATTTCTAATTAATCCTCTATTTTCTCATACGTTCTAAATATATTTGAGGTTTTCTGAATTTTATTTTATACCTTAACTTTTTAAAACCTGAGTATCATAAAATTAAATAATCAGTAGATATTTATTAATTTTTATTTATATATTAAAATATTAAATTAATATATTAAAAATTATTAATATATATTTAGTTTGATAAAAATTAAAGAAGTAATACTTATATTATTTGGTGTATAAATGATCGGGTTACAGCTCATATTTTACTGTTTCTATCGTCTTTCTCATAAGGCAAAATATTTCATTAATATATGTAATGAAGAATGGTTTAACCTATTCAATTATAAAGTTAAAAATAAACTTTGACCAATGCAAAAAATGTGCCACTACAACAGTGTCATTTTTATTGATAGCTGCTATTTAATTTAATATACCAAATTATAAAACTATAATTTAGGCAGAGTGAAGTCTGATATTTTGGACAAATGATTTTATCGAATCAATTTACTAACAATAAAATAATACTTAATGAAGGAAACAATCATTTAAAAACACAAAGACACAAAAGTGATGCTATAAAGTATTTTGAGATTAAGAATAAGAATGAATATTTTTAGTAATACATATATTAAACACACATATAATACAACTAATGAGAAAGTTAGTATTGAAAATATAATCCAAATCTAACAATCAATCTAGAACCAAAACCAAAAAAAAAAAACTAAAACCAAAACCAGACCAAAATTTTGCAAAAATCCAAACAATTAATATTTCTAAAAACCCGAAAACCAAAACTAAACTTAATATTAAAATAATTGAAATATAATAAAAAGTATTAATTATCATAATATATAATATAATTTATAAATTAAAAATATGCAAAATCCTTAATTACCTAAACTACCATTTTGGATTTCTGGGGTTAATTCGGGTTTTAGTAGTTTTTTTTTAGATTTATAACTTTAAACATGACTCAAACACTATTTCTAATTCGGTTTCATTTTGGGTTTTTAAAAAATATAAATGCAAACTGAATCCATCGTTACTCAGTTACTCGAACAAAACCGATCTGGAAAATATATGGTTCTTACACGGGTCCTAAACACCCCAACCCGAATAATTCAAAAATATAAATGTGAACCCAAATCAACATAACTAGAATGGAACTGATCTGAAAAATGTAATGGGTCCTAAACACTCAGCCCAAATAACTCAAAAACTGAATAACCCGAAAAGACCTGAAATAAAACCTGAGTATCTAGCACTATGAAACAAGAATATTAATTTTAGTTATAGACGTCAAAATTAAATATGAAAATTCAAAAAAAAAATTATAGTAATTCCTAAACTGGGAAAATTAACCAAAAATTATTTTCGCACTTTCAAAGCGCGGGTCAAAGTCTAGTTTACATTAAAGCATATAGACATTACTGCTTTGTTTCTTTTACAGTATGTCTTTAACCACCTCTTTAACAATCCCGGATGATCTCTTTCAGTACAAGAAAACAATTGTTTAACGACGAAATTTAACGAGGAAAATGGCTCCTCATAAAATTACGTGTTTTGTACGAAGAAATTATGAATCCTCGTAGTTTCGTCGTGAATATATGAGAAACATGTTTTCTCTTGAAAAGGCATTATTTAGTGAGTAATTTACGTGGCAGACTGCGTTTCCTTTTAAAGTGCTCACTAATGTTGCGTGTATTTTACGTGTAAACCCTTTAGTGAAGAAAGAATGAGGCCAACTATTTTTTAGTTGTACAGGTGTTT